TCAGCCTCGCCCCCTGCTGGCCAGCTCCTCTGGGCCTGTGGCCCGTGGCCCCCAAGGCCGCCCGGCATGGGCGGCACCGGGGGAAATGAACGTCACCCGGGCGGAAGATGTGATTTAGGAAATGAGGAAACCGAGTCAAGTGGCGAGGCCTGAAGCTGAAGGCAGGTGGTGGCAAAACTGGGACCCCGAGAAGGGACTCAGGGCACCGAGGTGCGTTAGCTCCATTGAGCCATTGAAGGGTAGAAGGTAATAGTGCAATAAACCAGTTGGCACACGCAAGGGGTAGGAATGTAAACACAGCTCCTTTCGTTTAGCAAGAAGGAAACCAAGAGTTTTAAACCTCGGTTTTAGGCAAATCGTTTCCATTTCCAATAAATGTTACTAAACATTAGATGTAGATTCAGAGTTTCCAACTAGCTGGGACAAAAAGTGAAGGACAGTAGGGCCTCCCACCACCACCACCACTACCACCACCACTCCCGAAACCAGATGCAAAATAAACCGAATGAGTTGCCAGGAAGTGTGATTTAATGATTAAGCCAGAGAACAAGTGAGGACGTTTTAATGCAAACATTTACACTCCCCTTCTCCCAACCACCAAATGCCGGGCCAGTTCTGAAATCTAATGAGAACGAGCGATTATAGCTAGATTCATTGCATTCTTCCTGTGCTTCAGTTCCTCTGCTAAATGCTTTCTGTACATACATGGTCTATGCAGTAGGTAATACGATGAGGGACAGAACTGAGGCTCAGAGCTCAACTGATTTTTTTTCGAGGTTGCACGGCTAATACACAGCCAGAATCTGAATCCGCATAGTCTGGCTCTAGGGCAGCCGTGGGCAAACTACGGCCCACGGGCATCCGGCCCATTTGAAATGAATAAAACTAAAAAAAAAAAAAAAGACCGTACCCTTTTATGTAATGATGTTTACTTTGAATTTATATTAGTTCACACAAACACTCCATCCATGCTTTTGTTTCGGCCCTCCGGTCCAGTTTAAGAACCCATTGTGGCCCTCCAGTCAAAAAGTTTGCCCACCTCTGCTCTAGGGCCTGCTCCACTAATTCTGACTGTCCAGAAACGAATTCTAAACCTACCCTTGAGTCTGTCTACAAACACTGCTCTTTATAACAGATGGTTTGTAAAATCAGATTGAAGCTAATCTTGTCATCTGATGCCCGGAATTCAGTGCCCCGATTTCCAAAGGTCTCAAGTTAGTAGTATCTGCTTTGGATTTACATTTTAGTTGAATACACAAGCTACTTTAAGGCTTTCATACTTGCCAGGTGGCGTTTTGTTAAACTTTAGGAAATAATAAGTCAAGACAGAGTTGCGTTTCTCTCTATGCTTTTATGTTACCTATTCACAATCAATTTAAAGAGGGATGAGAAAAGTGTAAATTATAATGTGTTTGCTTGTGTTGCAGAGGTAAACAGCAAAGACCAGGCTGAATTACGGTCAAGGGGCCAACCTTAGCTGTGGCGTAAGCCAGCTCTCCCTGTACTGATGGTGTCATTTTCTTTCGTTGCCTTGAGAAAGGCCCCCTCATCTCTTCAATGTCTCCTAGGATATTCGAGATTGTTCAGGACCATTAAGTGCACTTACTGAACTGAACGCTAAAGTGAAAGAGAAGTTTCAACAGTTGCGGCACAGAATACAGGTGAGCAGCGCAGAACTGAGATGCTAAGGAAGGGGGAACGAGGAGGGGGGCTCGGTCCTGGGACTGACATCTACCAGAGAGCTGTCCAGGTTCTTCCTAAACGTGTAAACAGGGAGGGAGCTGTACTAACCTGCTATCCAGGTCACTGCTAGGAACTTAGGCATGCAGCGCACAGCCAGCTGTGACAGACGGTGGCAGGGACGCCATTGTCCTTGGAATTTTTCAACTTCAAAGCTCTGCGGTCACTTGAATTACTTTCTTTTCTCTCCCGCTCTCCAACCCATTCACCCCAGTCCATCACCAGTGTCTCCTGGGTAAATTTTTGAGGCTGTCACTTTGCCCAGCCTCCTTCCCTCTGTTTTGTAATCACCAGTCGCATCATATGCACATATACGCTCCTGAATGCGACTATGGTATACGTGCCATCTCAAAACACAACAGCGAGAGGTACCGGTGTGGATGACGTAGGTGTTTCCGCGCTGTGCCTTCAGTGAGGGTGGCAGAGAGCCGCCCACCTCTCAGAAGGTGTTGGGCACCTGCTCGGCCTGCATGTGGTGCTGGGTGTAAAGCCTTAGGTTTTTCATATTGCAAGGCCCCAGATGCCAGCCAACAACTGAACCCGAGAAGACAGTCTGTTCCAGAGCCGGTGGAGAAACTGGCTGTTTGGACCCTCAGAAACAGCACGTCTGTGCCCTGCGTGTTGTCTTCCAAAGGAACTTTCCGGGGCAGTTTTCAGAATCCGGTTTTTGATCCCCATGATGTCTAAGTGGGGTCCGTCTCCTGTTCAGATTTTTGTGCTGCGTGGCAGGCGCACGTCGCCCTCTCAGGCAGCCGCACCACTCACGGCTGTCTGTGCTGGTCTCGGGCTCCTCCTCGCTGTGGGGTCTTGGGATTGTCCTTATTTTCTTTCTTTTTAAAAAAAATATATTTTTATTGATTTCAGAGAGGAAGGGAGAGGGAAAGAGAGAGAGAAGCATCAATGATGAGAGAGGATCATTGATCAGCTGCCTCCTGCACACCCCCTACTTGGATGGAGCCCACAACCCGGGCACGTGCCCTTGACTGGAGTTGAACCTGGGACCTGTCAGTCTGCAGGCTGACACTCTATCCACTGAGTCAAACCAGCCAGGGCTGTCCTT